CGAGAGGAGGCTAAAGCTCCCGAAATCCCATCTGGATCTCAGACCCAGTTAAAGCCCAAACACCAACCACAGCCAGACCAGGAGGAAACCAGCTCCACCCAGCAGGCTGGTCGCCCAGCTCTGGGGAGCGAGCACAAAGCCCCGCGGGTCTGCCTGCCGCCCCGTGCAGGGGCCGTCTCCCCCGGACACCGCCCGGGCCTCCTGGGTAAACCGTCCTCATCCTCCGCTTCACGGCCTTTTCGTTTTGGGGGCGCCCTCATTGGCGAGCCTCGAACCTGCAGGCGCGTGGCTAGGACGTGTCTTAACGACGCCCTGGGCACTGCTCTGGGAACGCGTGTTTGACGAGCTTGCTTAAACCAGAACAAAAATCACTTTCCCTTTAGTCCCTTCCGAATGCTCATCAGGCCCTGCAGCCTGTCTCCCCCCAGCGATGACAGTTATGTTTCAATCGCGGCCAAACTGCTCGTGGCTGCCGGATCCTCGGAGGGCGCGGTCCGGGCCGTGAGGCGCCAGACGCCTCCCAGCGCCTCCCACGGCGCTGACAGCGCCGGCATCTGCCCAGCGGGGCGCTTCCACGCAGCTGCCTTTCTTCCCGGGGACAGAGGAGGACAAAAAGCTTAACAGCCAGCGAGAGGCTTGTCCCATAGCCTGGGAATGAGATGGGAAACCTACACAGAGCAGCCCCTGTCCCTGGCTCTGTTCTCTGCGATCCCTGACCAGCACGGTGCCCGCCCACCCCTGCCTGACCCGCCCCTGACGGCCTGGCGGCTGGACGGGTCCCTCTCCTCACCAACACCCAGTTTGTTCAGAACACCCGGTGCTCAGGGTGGAAACCTTCATAAAATAAACGAGGAGGCCACATTGTTGGGTGGGTCCTAACACTGACACTTTCCATTTGTTTTAAAGGCCGCGCCTGCGTGTCGGCCCTCGGGAAAAGACGCCTGTGCGCCACCATGGGCCCACAGCAGCGGGTCGGGGAGGGACTTTGTAAAAAGCACTTCAGCTAGAGCTTTTCTGTCCGTGACACGTGGGCCATACACATGGCCCAGCCACGGGAGTCGGCTGCAGCGACTGAGCAAAGTGCTGTCCGCAGCTGCCGGCTCTGGAGCTGGCACTGCTGCCCTGGGCAAGGCCGCGGTCGGGCCGAGTCTCCGCTGGTCCACCACCTTCTGAAGCGCTCCCTGGTCCAGATCAGCAGTCACACCTGCATCCATGCGGGCCACGCCACACGCCACATACCACAGCCGCACACCACACGCCACATGCCACAGCCACATGCCACAGCCACACGCCACAGCCACACGCCACAGCCACACGCCACAGCCACACGCCACATGTCACACGCCACAGCCACAAACAACGCCCCGCGGCTAAGCTGCGGCTTGGAACCAGGCTGCGGGGAGAAAGCCTCCGTCCTCGCCTCCCTGACTCTCAGGGGCCGTCTCCCTGTCTAGCTGGTGTCTGCACCTCCAGACGCTGGGAAACTGGCCGTCCACCCAGATCAGGGGTCGCATCGACGCTGCTGAGCGGAGCAGCCAAGGGCCACACTCCCGCTCCCAGCGCTGCCTCTGAACCCTCCACGCCTGGTGGTGGGGCGGGGCGGGGGGGGCACCTCCTTCCAGCCGCTCCTCTGACCGCGCAGAGTGTAAGCCAGCGTTTCAAAGGCCCCGTGAGCCCTGGATGGTTTGCTCAGTGGTTAGAGCATCGGCCTGACGACTGAAGGGTCGTGGGTTCAATTCCAGTCGAGGTCACGTCCCTCAGTGGCAGGCTCGATCCCCAGCCCCAGTCAGGGCACATGTGGGAGGCAACCCATCGATGTGTCTCTCACGTCGATGGCTTTCTCTCTGCCTCTCCCCCTCCCTCCCACCCTAAGAACCAATGGGAAAATATCCTCGGGTGAGGATTAACCCAAAAAAATGTTCTTAAAAGAAAGGCCCCAGTGAAGGGGCACCTGGGGGTGTCCACGCTGTGACCTTGACCCTGACCCCTTCCTCCATTCAGCCTCCTCACCTCACAGCCTCAAAGAGCCGCATCCAGGCCCCTCTCCCCAGCCCACAGGTTTGCCCCTTCCCCTCCTTACCTTGACCAGCTCCTTGAACTTGGGGTCCTCCTTGGAGGTGGGGTCGATCATGGTGCGCTCCTCATTCTCCTCTGCCAGGGACACAGGGGGCAGGGTCAGGGGCACAGACTGGGGAGACGGCTGAGCGTAGAGGGCCCCGTGCTCTCAGTGCGCACGCCCCACACTGTCGCACAGCAGGTGCCAGCCGGGGGCGGGTGGCCGACCGCAGGAACTGCCTCCCGGAAGGTGGGGAGTCCTCCAGCCTCGCCTCCCCCCCATCCCGCGGCCTCGCCCCTCACTGCCTCCCATCTCTCAGGAGAGACCCTGGCGAGGCAGCCACGCACACAGGCCGGCACGGATCCGTGGGGAAAGCCGCTCTAGTAAAGTGGCACATGCCCTGGGCAGGCTCACCACGACGCAGGACAGCTCGGAGCAAAAAGCATCAGAAAGAAAAAGCAAAAAGAGAAGGAAAAGGAGGGTGCTTCATGCAAAACGTGCTCATCCTTCTGCTTATTTCCCCACCGTTTGCTTTTGCCTCCATGTCCCGGCCTCGCTCCATGGACAACAGGGCACCACACGCGGGCCCTGTGATGTCCCTGCTCAGGCCCGCGCCGCCTCCCACGCTCCTGGGACGAAGGCTAGCGCCCTCCGTGGCCTGGTGGCCAGCGCCGCCTCCTTCCCCAGCCCTCCCGCCTCCCTTGCTCCTCAGCAAGCCTCACGGCCGCGGCCACAGGGCCCTGGCACCTGCTCCTCCCTGTCTGCCGCCCTCCCCACCCACATGCCTCCAGCCCTCAGAGCTCAGCTCCGGCACTGCCCGAGCTCAGGGGCCTGGAGCCTTGCAAAGTGAACTGGAGAACAGAGCAGCTAGTTCAGTGGTTCTCCCCTTCTGGCCCTTTAAATACAGTTCCTCATGTGGTGACCCAACCATAAAATTATTTTCGTTGCAACTTCATAACTGTAATGTTGCTGCTGTTATGAATCGTAATGTAAATATCTGATATGCAGGATGGTCTTAGGCGACCCCTGTGAAAGGGGCGTTCGCCCGTCAAAGGAGTCGCGACCCACAGGTTGAGAACCGCTGATAGGTAGAGAGACGGCGAGAGGCCCGGCCGGCGTGGCTCAGGGGTTGAGAGTCGACCTGTGAACCAGGAGGTCACGGTTCGATTCCTGGTCAGGGCACATGCCCGGGTTGCGGGATCGATCCCAGTAGGGGGCATGCAGGAGGCAGCCAATCCGTGATTCTCTCATCATTGATGTCTCTCTCTCTCTCTCTCTCTCTCTCTCTCTCTCCCTCTCACTTCCTCTCTGAAATCAACAAAAATATATTTTAAAAAAGAAAGACAGTGAGACGAGGAGGGTCAGGGCCCGGGGACAGGCAGGCTCAAGGCATCATGGACAAGGCAACAGCCGGGCACACGGTTAAGCGACTGTTTCCTGCCCCTGCTGGTCCAGAGCAGGTATCAGCCAGGAGGGACTGTCCCCACCCCGGGCAGCAATGTCTGGAGACACGTTTGTTTGTCCCAACTGGAGGGCGAGGGGATGCCGACCCTCACCCCACAGGCCCAGGGCAACCCCGCGCCCAGGGCTTATCCCGTGCCGGCTGGCGTG